CTGCTGCCCTCCAAGCCTCCACTTGTCCTCCGATGAGGAACCCTTTCCCTGCTGGATGACTCGGTTGGTCCCTGGCAAGAAGCCACCACCATGGGTATCAACCGCTGCTCCTACCAGCCTCTGACTTAACCCCGCCCTGAGGCTCACCCGCATTGAGGATGTGGGCACTAGGTCCCATATACCCCAGTACACAAGTGGGCACATCTAAATACAGGCCCACTCTGCACCTTCTGAACACAGCCTGGAAGCAGCTCTGGGTTCTTGCCAGAAAAAGAGCGCTGGATGTTTCAGCATAGGCTCCCCAGAGCAGTGTGGACAACTGGGCAGGAAGTAACAAGGTGGGTGACCCAGGTGGAACCAGAAACACAGCTTGCCCTGTGGGCACTTCAGAACTAACCAGAGCCACAGAAACTGCTGACCATCTTCCAGAGCAGCCCTGGCTCCGCTCACAGGCTCAGAGGCTTCCCTGAGAAAGGGCAGTGCGCTCTCTGCACAGGTGGCAGCTTTGCAGGGCTAAGGAGCCACACATGTGTTTACCCACTTGGCAGGATCCTGCCCCCCTGAGGTTGTCCACACAGCCTATGCCTGTTGTGGGCAAAGAAGTAGGTACTAGGGGAGGAGCCTGGAGCCTAGGAAACTAAACTTAGCTGCCATCAGAGGGCCCTCATGAGGCAGAAAACAATGGGAAATTGGGAGTCAGCCCTTCTTCAGACATGGTGGCTTTGTCTAGTGCCTTGGGGAAAAGCCCACTCAAGTAAGGGTCTTCTGTCCCCTAGCATCTCTCAGAGATACAGCCCTGGCTGGGTGAGCACATATTGCACTAAGACATTCCTACCCTAAGTCACCATGCCTGGGAGCCCTGCAGACACTGCCTGAGGCCTGGTGGATAGGGTATTCCACCATGGTAGGTGCATGTGATGTGAGCGTGCAGAGGGCAAATATGAGTATATGTGTACCCATGTGTTCGCCTGTTATGTGGCTGCTCTCTCTGGAAGGATGTGTCCCTGTGCAACTGCTACCTCTTCAACCTGCGTGAGAGCCTGGGAGGTGGCTGAGTTTCTGTTTGTCACCCCACAGGTGCCCCTAAAGGTGAATTTGAGTGTTGGACGCTCATGGGGACATTTGGTCCCACTATAGGAGACCCTGGACTCCACCTGAGCCACAGCAAATTTCCCTGCAACAGCCCAGCTACCAATGAGGTCCCTCTTCAGTTCCTACCCCAATCAAGTAAATTTTTTCATCTTAAGTTTGTCTGTAGCCCTGTACAACAGTGGGAGGAGAGAGTTGGTTTCTACCAGTCCATCCTGCAGCCCTTCCCCAGGCCCAGGTCATCAGCTTGCACTCTGTGAGGGCGAGACAGATACAGACCACACTGACCTTTTGTGGAACAACTGGGTCACTACCTGTAAATGCCTTATGAGACGCTGTCTTCTCCTTGTCTAAGGGGATTCTTCCTGTGGGTGCCTCAACCCAACTTGACCCTTGATGAGTGTCCTCAGTCCTCGCTCTTCCCTGTGACGAACATAAGCCAGCATGGAGCATGTCCATAAGGAAGCCAACAGCGGGCACCAGTGAGAGCACCACCGGGCAAAAGATAAAAGGCCCAGCACCATGGCAGGCAGCACACTGGCTGTTTCACTTAAGATGTCTCAGAGATGGGCTTTGACATGTCACCCAAGTCCAGGAAAAGTCACCAGCCCTTCCTGCTGGCTGAGAAGCGCAGCCCTGACCATGCCATGGTTTCATTCCTCCTGGCTTTTGGGCAGGAAAGAAGGGATGTGGGAAGGAAACTCCTAGAAAACTATCCAGGAGCTGGGCACAGTATCTGAGTGATAGAAATCTCCCCCATCCTCCAAGGGTCCCCTCCTGACAATGCTGACTGATAGCCTGCACTGGGGTGGATGGGAAATGTCTTCATGTCTACCCCTCGATCTGGCCAACAGATACCTTCCTTCTTATAAAATGCTTATGGGTAGACAGGCAGACAACAGCAGGAGCCGCAGCCTGTGGCGGAGCCACCCAGCAGGAGGCTGCCAGCACCATCAGGGTTCACCTTCAGGAGAAGAATGAAGCTCTTCATGGACCCAACCCCCATAAACCCAGGAGTCTCGGCCTTGTAAATACCCAGACCCCAGAAACAGGCCAGGACAGTGGGGCTTGGTAGCCAGGAGACCATACTAAAAGTGTCTTAGCTATGCCTGACACCCAAGAACTGGGAACCAGCATAGGGAGAGAGTAAAACCTTCAAGAACTGGGAACCAGCACAGGGAGAGAGTAAAACCTTCAAGTTGCTGCTGGGCCCGAGTCAATCAATTCCTACCCCTCCACACCCACAGCTAAATTGTCCCACACACTGGCTGCTGCCTCTGTATCTACCACACTTAGGAAAGTGTGAAGGGCTGTAGAGCCCCTAACCATCTCTGGCCAAAGAGGAATCCAGGCACCTCTTCCCTGGTCAGGAAGAAAACATCATGGCTTGGGACCAGTTGGGGAAAGGGGTCTCTTCCCAACAGGGACACCAGAGCCCTACCCTTGCCTCACTGATTCCGCTCCTGCTCCAGGGTCCAGCTCAGCCAAACACAGGCACAAACCCAGAATATCCACCCCAGGAGGTGCCTCAAAAAAGCACAGAGCCGGGTTCCTTCAGTTCTGATTTTATTGAAAAACAGCAGCATTGGGGGCCGTGCAGGCAGGGGCACACACCCACTTGGGCCCCCAGCCTGTCTTCTTGGGAACTCGGCTCATCACCTGGCCCTAGGGGCTATTTTGGCACATCCTGGGGTCTCAGGACACCCCACCCCCATCATGGGCTCACAGTACAAATTCAAGAACAAACCCCAACAGTGAGATCTACCACTGTGTCACACCCTCACACCCTGACCAAACCCAGTCTGTCCTGTCCAAGGGGCCTCCAGCTCCTCTACCCTACCTCAGCCAAGGGGGAGATGGACAGAAGTCAGGGCCGAAGGAGGCTCAGCTAGCCTAGTGGGGTTGTGCTACATTCACATGGAGCTGGGCAGGGCAGGGGAGAGAATGGGCACAGTGAGAGACAACCATAAGACCCTGCTTCTTACCACAAAGAAAGTGCTCCCAGATCAGAGACTGTTCCCACTGGTTCCCTCCCACTGCTACACATGTGCACATACAAACACACGCATGCACACATCCATACACATATGGAGCTGCCCACGCATACACACATGCACACACATGCAACACATGAATGTGATTTCTTGAGCACATATAGTCACATGAGCACATGATTACAAATGGCATGTGCTTGTGCATACACACACGCAGTCATACAGATGCTCACACATGCATACACATACTCCAGGTGCACATGCTCACACGTGTGCACAAATGCACAACACAGATGGGTATGCACATTACGCAGGTATACCCCTTCTTTAAAATGGCTAATTATTGCTGTTTTTTTTTCTTTAAAAAATATACATCCAATAGTGGTTAAGTCAAGGCTCATCTTCTACCCAGACCCAGGCAAGCTGTGCCCACCTCCCATGGACCCCTCCCCCGCTGGAAGCACAGTGATGGCAGCACCAAAGAGCAGCACAGCCCAGGGTCTGCCCATCACCCAGCAGTGTAGCCAAGAGCCAGGGACAGGACCATGACTGAGGCCAGCACTGACCAAGAGAACAGGTAGCAACAGGTTCGGGCAGCAGTGCTACCACAGACAGGGAGACACAGCCACCTCAGGTCAGCTCTCTCAGGCCGCCCCTTGGGGCTTGGTGGGAAGGTAGCCTCAAGGGTGCCGCACAGCTCCTACCCAGCTAGGAAGCCATGCCCAGCCCCCAAGAAGTCCCAGGCACCAGCAAAAGACCCAGAAACTTTTGTCCCCAGGCCTCTAGCCACAGGCACAGCCCTGGAAGCCAGCTCCAGGAAGCTGTTGACTGCGGGGTCACCTGGGACTGGCAGAGGCAAGTGGACTGACCAGGGTGCTTTCCAGCAGCAAGTGAGAATCCTGTGGCTTAAAGAGTCCCAGGCATCGGGCCAAAGCCAAAGCTCACCTCAGGTGTGTCCCCGACTCTATGCTCTGTCCTGTCCCCTTCCCTGATGAAGGATGGGAGCACAGGGAGAGGCTGCCGTCGACACCAGGTCTCTGCTGTAGGTGCACCCCACCACCTCTCCCACCTCCCTCCCGACTAAAGCAGAGGCTCCCACACAAACAGGACTCCTGGAAGCCATAGGATCCTGAGTTCAGGTCAGACCCCAGGCCGGAGGCCCAAGGGAGGAGAGATGGCCAGCAAACTCAGAGGAGCTGCCCCAAGCACATGGCCACCAGGTGGAGCAGGGAGAAGGGCCTCCACAGAGGTAGAAAAAAACAGAATCTCAACAAACAGAAAATTCACATCAGTGCACATGTGCAGAGCTCGCCCAGCCCTGGTGGGATGAAGAGGACAGGGCCAGGCCCAGTCATCAGCAAGCTCAGCTCCCTCCAGCACAGGGCCTCGGGCCTGCCAAGCTGCACGCTGCCCAGTGAAGCTCCATCCTGGTGCAGCTGGAACCTACCCCACCACCCATTCCTGACATCTCGACCAAGTCTTGGTAGCAACCGAAAGCAGACAACGAATAATGAAGAGCCCGGCAAGCTTTCCTTCACCCATGGGCTGTTTGGCAGGAAGGGGTCCCCTTAGGCAGACAGGTGCCAATAAGCCAGAAGGGCCACACCTTCCCCCCAGGCTCCTAGGAAGGGAGAATCTACTATGAGCTCATCCCAGGTCAGTATCAAGGAGACGTGGGTGGCTGAGGGATCCCCAAGCTCTGCCCTGGCCCGAACAATCCCAGTGCCCTTCTAACCCCAAAGACTGCAGGCCCCAAAGGCACAGGATCAGAGAAGCCTTGGCAGCTGGTGGTGTCCAGCAGACCTGACTCCCTCTCAGGCCCACCCAGACCTCAGACCCCCCCATCCTCAGACACCAGCAGTCCCTACATCCACAGCAACTAAGACTAGCCCCGAGCCGAGACCAATCCAAACAGAAAAGAGGAAAAGGCACAACTGTTTGTTTTCCATTTTGCTAAAACACTTTACGTCTGTCTGTATAATCCAGATTAACAAAATCTGAGAGCTGCAAGAAAATAGGGTGCCGATTTCTGTACAGTCTACAAAACTCCCATCCCCAAGAGGGGACCGGGCACCACCAGGGAGGAATGTACAGGGGAGAGCGGGGTCTGTACAGTGTTCTGCAAATGCCTCAATTGCTAACAGGACAAAAGGCCCCTCAGGAAGCTGGGCTTGTTCCACCATTCATTCCCTCTAAGCCTTTCTAAGAATGGCGCCATGGTGCCAGGGGCCAGCTCTACAGCCTACCCGACCTGCCACTCCTTGTCCCCAAGCCCCACACAGAGGGTGTGGATGGGCCTTTATGCCCCACCCCCACCCCCACCCCCACCCTGCACTGAAGCTAAGTCCAGGTTTCAGGTGGCCACATGAGCACTGCCAGCCACTGCCTTCCTTCCTCTGTCCCAGGCTACCCCCCAATTCAGGCTGGACTCTAAGTGGGACCTCAAAAAGGAGAGGCCAGGAGCAGTTGGCCCAGCAGTATACTCTATAGTGAGATGGCTGGACCCACCCCAACAAAAAAACAACTCCCAAGTCCCAGGCAGTGCCCAGCCCTTCCCATGAGGCTTTAGGACCCTCCAGTCCCCTCAGGCCTACACACAGGGGTTCAAGAGGCAGCCTGAGACCTCACAGACCAGGAATGCACTTTGAGGGCAGTTCCACTAACCTAGAATTTCTTTCCATTCTCCAAACTGAAACCTTCCACCTACCCGGCCACCCACCCCCATCAAATGGGGCCAGAGACCACATGTATGCTAGCACCACACAGACGTGTGTCTGGAGGCTCAAACTACCATTTTGTCCCGGGAATTAAAGTCATGCAGAGTGCTATTCTGTCTACGTAACTTATTAGAGAATGGGTTGTTTCAGGCTGGGAGAAGCTGTGGCAGGCATCGCCAACAACAGCCTGAGCTAGTTACATTCACAGGGCAGACCCCACAAACAGCATGAGTCCACAGGGTCTCGGGCGGCTGGGAGGGGGCCACCTGATCTAACAGGTGTTGGGGGAGGTGTCCCCCCACCCCCCTGAAATCCCCACCATGCTGTGCAGTGGATTGCTACAGGAACCGAACCTGGGTGCCCAGCCAAGTCAGCCAGAGCAAAGAGGCACGGGGACCACAGGGAAAGAGGTAAGATGATTCTGAAGCAAAGCAGGAATGGCTAGGGCCGGGTTAGGCCAGGCCCGGCCCCACCAGAGAGACAGGATCAGGCAGGTGGGCCCTCCAGAGGCCAGCTCAGGACAGGACAGGTGAGCTCACCAGCTCGGACCTGAGGTTCAGACTAGGCAGGGCAGCGGGGCAGGGGGCTGTGGCATGCGGCATGCTGCAGCCAGGCCATGTCCTCAGCATGCACAGGGCAAAGCAGGGCCTGGGGCCAGCTTGGCCTCCCACAGGGCAGTGGCTGGCCAGCCCAGCAGGCCGCTCTTCCAGAGGCCATTGGCTGAGCCTTAGCCTGGCTGGGGGCCAGGGTTCTGCTCCTTGTGGGACTTGTTGTAGAGGTTCTGTGCTCGACGGGCAAGGCTAGTCCTCCCCTGATGGAGGCAGGCTGGGCAGCTTTGTGGATAGTCCAGGTGGTCCACAATGCTGCTCTTCAAGGCATGACGAGCCACTCTGCTGGGCTGGGGGGGGCAAGGGCCGGGGCTGCAGACAATCTACCCCACCAGAGTGTTGCCGAGGAGCAACGCCCTGTGTCCCCCAGAACCAGCCAGGTGATGCTGAGAAAGGAAAATCCAAACTAACGCCAAGGTGAGCATTGGAAAGCAGGGCCGCACTGGGCAGCGAGCAGGAGGGCAGAGGTGAACAGGGGCAGACAGGGTGGTGGGCAGGTGGTGGTGGTCACTCCTCGCGTAGCTGCAGGCGGTAGCGGTGGTAGCGGACCTGGAAGAAGAGGCGCTCGGCCAGCGAGAGGGTCATGCCAGGCAGCACGTAGTGATCAGTTGCGCCCATGTGTCTGAAGCCCAGTGATTCATAGAGCTTGTGGGCGGCCACCTTAACAGCTGTGGTGCCCAGTACCACTGCAGAGTAGTTGTGCAGCATGGCAAACTCCAGTACCCTCCGGCCCAGAGCCTTGGCAATGCCTTTGCCGCGGAAGCGTGAGTCCACGGACATGCGGAGCAGCTCCACCGTATTGTCCTCTTGATGGGCCCGAGCGGCCACGATGCCCACAACATTGCCATCCAGCACGGCCACCCAGAAACAGGATCCTAGGAAGGACAGGACAGTCAGGGACATTTTGCAGGGAAGGCTGGAGAGACTTCAGCTGCCCATTCCTGCTGGGCACCAAGTCAGGGCATTACAATGACGCCCAATCATCCAGGGCCCTGGCCCTCCTTTCCGCTTTTGGAACAGCAAGGGCGGCCATAATTCAGGATAAGCAGGTAAGGTGCCTCCTCCAGACCCCCTATGCAACAAAAACATTCCAGTGGCCTTAGTCCGGCTGACCTGCCCAACTTTGCGTGACTGGATCCCACAACACAGGCAGGCACAATCAACTCAGGCCGGAGTCTGTACTGTCCTGGCCAGAATAGTAGTTGGAGGTGCCTAGGAGCCGGGCAGGCCTTGATGAAGCAGATTCCTACCCCCAGACCACCTGAAAAACCAGAGTCAAGGCCTCAGTTCCAGCTGACCTACTCAGAATCCCAGCCCCTGGCCTGCCATCCTCCTCCTCCACAATCCTTGCAGGGATAGAACTGAGTGATAACCCAGAAGAATGTTTTAGATCTACCAGTGAGAGACCACAGACCGCCACAGACACCCCCAAGCCCCAGTGACTGGACAAGGAGCCTGATGACCAAGCCAGCTATCTCCACCTATAGCAAAGCCAATCCCAGGCTCACTTCTACAAGAAGGGGAAAGGAGGGAATAAGGAGTTGGGATGGGAAGGATGCTGAAGGGCACAGGCCACGGGGAACCCAGTCACCATCAGGAACCAGAGGTCCATGGTCAAGGGATACCTTTTCTTGAAAGTCAAAGGTTGAGGGACAGCAGGGGAGAGCGTCTGACTGGCCAAGAGAGTGCCCTGCTGTGGGTGACCTGGCCTTCCCTCAAAGGGTCACACTTCCCCCAAAGGCTCTGCACCTGTAACCTGTCCCCAGCAAGCAGTAGGAAGCACCCCTACCTTCACTTCTCACCTCTTCGGGCCCGGGGGAGACTCAGAGCTCTGTAGCTAAGGGTGCTGCTTGCCCCGCTCCAGGGTAGCAGAGAAAGTCAACAGCTCAGGAGGGCCCGCATGCCAGAGCCTCTAGGACTTCCCCCACCCGAAGGGGACCCTATGGGCCAGTCCCGCTCTTACCAACTGCTGCACGCCCACCCACCCAAGCCAGACCAGAGATCAGAACAGCCTCCAGCACTGACTGCCTGCACTCCGCCAGGTCTCGTTCCCCATCTGCATGAGAACTCATAAATCCACACAGCTCCATTAGCTGCTGTCCAGCATTTGCTCTTGTGGGATCCCGTAAACCCAGCAGATGTCTAAGGGTTAGCAAAGACTGCCACACTCAAACCCCCCAGGGTAACTGAAGCTCAGACAGAGCACATGACAGGCACCTCTGGCCACACCCATGCCATCTACCCAAGCCCACTCCGGCCATTTCCCCCCTTTTCTTCCCAAGCAATGCCAGGTAGGTTGAGGGTCCTGCAGAGGCCAGGAAGCTACACTTGAACGTGAGAAGGGCCAAGGAGAACAGCAGGCACCAAGGCCAGCTAGCTGGGCAGGAGGTTGGGGCGCGAGGTAGGGCAGCTGGGGAGGATCTGGCAAAAACGATACCTGGCAGAGCCAGAGCGGCTGCCCTTCCCTGAAACAGACCCAACTCCTGCTGGCCAGCACTACCCTCAGCCCCTCATATCCCAACTGTCTCCTTCTTCTGGTTCTCAAGACCTATTCTGCTTCAGGGCTTGTTTGGGGGAGAGAGCAGCCCCTCTCTCTGCGTTAAGCCCTAGGTCTGTGGTAATTCCTTATGATTCACTAGGAGGTTCACTGGTCAGGATGCCAAGGATAAGGCTGGGACCTCTTCCCACACTGCTCCCTGGACCTTTCCTGTGCCACACAGGCTTCCTCCACCCAAGGCACTCTGGGCTGGCTCAGGGTCCAGTCAGGACTTACCTCCCCAACACACACACACACACAAAGCAGGTACCAGGAAAAGGCGTCTGTCAGCGGGCACAGTGGAGCCAGGCCACCAAGGAAAGGACTCGCTCTGGCCTCCCCAGCTGACTCTACACTTAGCTAGAGGCCTCAGTCATTCAGAACATCAGGATCCCTCAGCCCAGCCCTCTAGTACCTGAAAGGGAAGAGGGAGGGGGCAGTTAGGGCTGGAATTTCAGAACTCACCAGGTGGCTTCATGTAGTACTGCTCTATGTCAGCCATGTCCGTGTGCAGCGCACACTCCAGGTAGGCCAGAATCACCTTTCGGCTGTAGTAGTAGCGCAGGGCCAGGAGCCCCGCTGGCACCAGGCACGTCAGCAGCAGTGAGCGGGTCACAGCAAAGCAGAGGGCTGCAGGCAAGGAGGCACAGGTGAGGTGGCAGGTGCAGAGAGGACATGGGTGGGCCCCACAGCACCGGGAGTCCAAACCACCTTGGTAAATCAGTGCTTAGGGATGCGCCCCACCAGGGACTGTTTCTCTGTGTAGGAGCAGTCATGGCCGCGGGTCCCTTTCTACGCTTCCTCACTTCCACTCTCTGGCGTAAACACCTGCTACCTTCACAACCTGAAACAAAGGTCCACAATACAGCCAGGGCCAGGCCAGTGCTGGTCAGCCCTCGGTGCCCCAGTTTCCAAGAGGGCTCTTGCCTACTCCACCTAGCCTGGTGCTAAGTCAAACAGCTGGACAAAGACACCAGGGCACTGCCTAACCAAGCAGGTCATCCCACACTGGGGTGTGAAGGGCCCCAGTCAGAGCCATCCCTGGGCAGTTTCTGGGTCCGCTAGGCCCACAGGGTCAGGCGACAAGCACCACACCGCTTCCAGATTCATTTATTCTGTGGAGGAGGAAGAGGCACTAGAGCAAAAGTTGCCTCCCCTGAATGACCTTGGGAGAGTCGCCTCAAGCTCCTCATCCGCAGAATGGGATGACTTGAATGTTGGGGGGAAGGGTGTGCTTAGGACCGCACAGGATATCCTCCCTGTGGCCCTGGCTCTGGCGAACAGCCTCCCAGGCTCCCCGCGGAGCTGGCTGTCTTCCCGTCATAAATTAGCACTTGAGCCTCAGGCGGCCTCCCCCGCCCGCAGATTATATATAGTTGTCGCGCCGGGCCGCAGCTGCAGCGCTACCTGCCCTGTCACGCCGCCCCCACCCGGGATGCCCCGCGACGGGGAGAACGGGCACCGCGGACTGAGTTGCTGACCCAATGCTTCCCAGGTCCGCAGCGCCCGCACTCAGCCCGCACCGGTTCCCACGCCCGGCCCAGGCGTCTTGGCCGTAAGACCGCAGCACTGCGCCGCGGGTTCGAGTGGGTCTCCTCCCCGCCGGTCCCACGGACGGATGCGGCACCCGGGCTTCCAGATGGGGACCCAGGAGAAGGCGGGGCAAAGCGCGACGGTCCCCGGAGGGGTCCGCTGGACCCGCTGGAGCCGGGCCCGACCCGGGACTGCGGCAGACCCGCCGGTCCCCCGCCCCCCGCGGCGCACTGACCCGCCAGCAGGGCGTAGAGCAGCTGGGTGCGCGGGTGCTGCCGCAGGCCGCGGAAAGCCGTGTTGGGGATGCGCTCCAAGATGCCGTCGTAGAAGATGCGGCGCGCCGCCTCCTGTTCGGCTGCGCGGAACTCGCGGATGCACACGCCGCGCCCCTCCGGCGGCCCCGCGCCCCCCGTGCCTCCGTGGGGCTGGGGACCTGGCGCGGGTGGGGGCGCGACGGCCGGCCCGGGCGCGGCAGGTAGCGGGGGCCACATGGCTCCGGCGGCGGCGAGCAGCGCGTCCTTCTTGGCCCCCGGCAGTGCCTCATGGTCCTCCGCAGCCAAGATCTTCGTCTCGCAGACCATGTCGGGAGGCCCACAATGCATGCACCCGGCCGGGCGGCGCAGCGCAGGGACGCGGGCCGGCGGCGGCGGGCAGAGCCCGGGCCCAGGGCAAGGGCGCGGCGCCCTCGGACCCGCGACAGCGGCGGCAGCGGCAGCTCAGGGGCGCAGGGCGGAGGTGGCGGGCGGCCGGGGCGCGCGCAGGGAGCTGCGCCGCATTTTGGAGAAGTATTTATAATGCAGCGGCGCCGGTGCAGTCGAGGCGCCCGGGGTCCCGCAGGGTCCTAGCGTCCACTGCATTGGCTGCCGAGGGTCACCATGTGATCTCGGGGGTGGGAGCTGACGCCGCCTCCGCGCCCGCCCGATGGTACACTTGGGCTGCGCGGCGGGCGGACCGCGGGAGCACGGTGGGGCCCGGCGACGAGAGTGCGAGAAATCGGCTAGGCCAGTGGTCCTAATTGAGCGCGCGGGCGAGCGGCAGCGAGGACAGGGCGCTCGGAGAGGCGCTGTGTGGGGGGCTTGAGGCTCGCCCGGAGGAAAGCGAGTGATGGACGCCTCCCACCCCGCCCCTGAGCACCCGCAAAGCTGCCGCTGCGCTCGGGCCTCCGTGCCTACAGCAGCGCGTCCTCCTCCTCCGCGGCCGCTAGCAGCAGTCACGGAAGTGTCTCCATCTCCCACCCCTTTGTCTGAACGCAGTGCCCGGCCGAAGTCCTCGGGAGGGGCATCGTGCTCCCCGGGCCGGTGCCCTGCGAGCCTGTGGTCGGGGCCGAACGGACTGAGGCAGTGAGGACGAAGTTGAAGTGGGGTATGATGCTCGCGCCTCTTGACGCAGCGCCGCACCCCACCCTACTCCAATCTGACACCCGACCGCTCCCGGCAGCAGGCAAGCTGGATTGCAGGACCCCTCCCGGCTCGGCCCCCGCCTTCCGCGGCCCGCGCATGCGCCCCGTGGCCTTGGTGCAGGTGCAGCGGGGGCTCGCATCTGAACCGCGTCTCGTGGTCCCCAAGAGCAAGACGTGCAGACGCAGCAGACTAAGCACGCATGAGGTGGGGTCTAGTATCGAGGTTGAGGAGCGCGTAGTGGCATATTCTCTTGCCTGGGTCACAGGGTTGGGCACCCCCGAAGCCGAATTCTCCCACATGATCGCCGAGACCCTGACGTCTCTGGGCCTGAGAACCCTCAGTCTCCGTCGTACCGCACCAGAGTTAGACAGCATAGTGACTAAGATCACTTAGATACTGGAGGGGCCTGGCCCACAACCAGAACCTGGGAGCAGGTGTGGAGAATCCACCACCCAGGGTCCTCAGCGCGAGAGTGCTGGGGAGGAGAGGGACAGGCTAAGGAGGATTTGCCTCAGTGGGTTTTCAAAACACAGGTGCATATCTGGGTCCCGGCTGTGACCTTCCAGAGCCCTGAAGCTAAATCTCTAGAAATTTCAAAGGGACACACTAATGGTACCTGAACAGGCTGAGACCCCTGACCAGCAACACTGGCCTCTTCTGGGTCCTGAGTTTGGCTGGGTGGTGTGCAGGAACTGTGCCGGCCTGTGAGGAGGTTCGGGCAAGCTGGGAGAAGAGGAGACTGGGCATTGAGGAGAAATTAGGTGAAGCCGAGTAGGTCTGACTTGAGGGTCACTGGGGACGCTGAAGCCTTAGAGGTAACAAAATAGTCTAGCCTCTGTAGGGGCTCATTCCAAACCCCGAACCGAGCTTCTCCTTCGCTGTTCTACACCGCAGGCCCAGGGGCCAAGGCTCGCAGCAACGCGACCTTGATAGCCCTTCCTGTTCTGCAGAGGTCCCCTCCGCTGGTCGGACTGACTACGCCCTTCAGTGCCCCAATCTTCCTTTAACCGTGTGTACACCCCATCCCCGGTGGCCATGGTGGAGGCCTGTGCTGTGACCAACTAGAACACATCATAACCGTCTGGAAGTGTAGAGGGACCAGGACTGGGGTCCAGGCACAGCCATTAAGAAGGGCTTGGAGACCCAAAGACTTTGGGTTGCACAGACAGCGGGGCAGTCAGTGGCCCTGGTTAGCCTGGTTCCTCCTCTGTCGTGGGGCGCCCTCTGCCGGTATCCCTTAGGGCATTCCCGGGTGGCATCAAGGCCCTTTCTGATAAAGACCCAGCCTGGAGCCACTACCTCTCCTGAACTCCCTGCACCCTCCTCTGTCTGGGTCTCCAGGAAGACTCTGGAGACGCAAAATTGACTTCCTCACGCCCTGCTGATGAATAATCCTTCCAGGAGTCCAGAAGCGCCTGCCTACAGCTAGGCAGGGTTGAAGACCTCTGCCCAATTTCAGAGACAGAAATGGGGGCGGGCGCCCTAAGCCCTTACACCTCAACATCGCGGGTAGGGATGTTTCCTTAATTGGGCCACCCTCCACCGAGGGTGTGTCCTCTAATGATGTTGGGGACAGATAACTTATCCTTGCCTGGCATGGCTGCCCCAGGGTCTATGTGGGGGGAGGATGAGCCAGGCACTGGAAAGCACAGCCAAAGTAGTCCTGGAAAATGGTATAAGCTGCTGAGGCCTGGGGGAGGACAGAAGCCTTAAGAGAGTAGAAGAGTCCCCCCCCCAAAAAAGAAAAAAAACAAGCCCAGCATGCCACTAACAGATGTCACCAAATGGGAATTCTGCAATGACGTCTCGAGGTCAGAGGTCCTGGAGTCCCAGACTCAACCTGCCTAGCACTCTGACTGTAAAACGGTCTCCAAACAACCTCAGGGGCTGCCTCTTAGGAAAGCCACCCCAGAACTCCCCCTCTCAAGAGCCACATGGCATCACTGCGGCGGCAAAGTGAGCATACTTAGAAAACCATACCTACCCCGCCAAGCATCCTTCTAAATGTAACCTGAGAGTCCCCACACTGTGTTGGGCCTGACCAATTCAGTCACACCCAGCCATGTGCTAGGGTGAGGACATATGCTAATAAAAAGAAAAACAAAACGGGGCAGCGGGTGGCACCTGCCTTTGATCCCAGCATTCAGGAGGCAGAGGCAGGCAGATCTCTCTCTGTGAGTACAAGGCCAGCCCGGTCTACAGAATGAGTTCCATGCCAGCCAAGGCTACACAGATAAGCCCAGTCTTGAAAAAACAAACAAACAATCAAAAGAAAGGAGGAAAAGAAAATAGTCTAGTATCCTTTAGGAGCCACCTCTACCAAAGTGGGGGGGGGGGGGACAGGCATAGTGGCTCCAGGCACTTGAGAGGTGAAGACAGAAAGACCAGGAGTTCAAGGGTGTCCTTAGCTACCCAACAAGGAGGTGAACAGCCAGAGCAACATGAGGCCCTTCCCCCCCCCCAAAAAAAAGGAGGAGTGATAAGGGCTGAATTGTGAAGCAGGCCACAGAAGCCAAGGGGGTAGCTTAGGACAGCAAACAGTACATGCAAAGTCTTTGAGGGGTGGGGGTGACATTACAGATGGAGTAATTCAATAGAATTATTTTCAGACAAATTGACTCAGAATTTCCTTCCTGAACACCTTTCTGCACAGGCGGCAAAGGGTGGAGGGCCTGAAACCTAGAAAAAGGTGACTCTGCCAGAAGAGAGAAAGGTAGATAGTGTTATGTCTGGTGGCTTGGGTCGCAGAAGTTAGCTAGGGGTAGCAAGAGAATGAAGGACGGTAAAGCTGGATCAGGTGGGGTCCTTCCTCACTTGCCCTGGAACCGGGAACCTCAGCGTGTTTATTAGGTACAGCACAAGGGGCAGCAAGTCCCTGTCAGAGCTGTGTACAGGTCGTAGTTTCAGGCTGCAGCTGCTAGGCTTACACACGTCTGCGAATCATTATCAACACTCACACACAAACTCCACACATTCTCTCCGGACTGCCTCTGCTCCCGAGAGGGCAGCCAGCGTGGGGATGCACATCTGTCTGGGACCAGGAACAGAAATCCAGGCAAATAAGAGATATCCTGTGCCGTGCCCATGGCTTGGGCTCAGTGCCGGACATAAGCAGCCAACAAGGATCAGTTAGTCCAACACTAAATCCAGGAGAATGAAAGGTACCTTAAAGAAAATGCATGCCATGTGCCTGGCCATATGCTGAGCTATGATTAGTCCTTCCGAATGCCATATTGAGCTAATGTCAAACAGGAAAGCTGCACCGGAGCTCCAGGACAGTGCAGAGGCCATTGGCCTTATGCAAGCCTAAACTTGCCAGATGTCTGTGCTGTGGACCCCTCCATCTCTGCTCCTTCTCAGAAACCCAGGGCAAGCTCACTCACGATCGTTGCTCAAGATCACCAGAGCCCAAAAATGCCAAATCTGTTGCTAGTCTTGGTGTTTGCTAACCTCAGCAGCATGAGGTCCCCTTCTTCCCACTTCATGGCTGCTCCTCCTACTCTGAGGTCCCTCACTGTATCTGTCTCCTCCGCTCCTCTCTTCGTCCACACTCAGGCACGGAGAACTCAACAGTTAGCTGTCCCACCCTTCTTTCCCTGGTGCTTGTCCAGGTATAGTCTTACAGCTGCAGTGACCTGCCCCATCCCAAATCCTCCTGTTTTCTTTTCATTCACTTCCTCTCTTCTTTTTTGGGACAGGGTTTCTCTGTGTGGCCCTGACTGTCCTCTATGTAGACCAAGCTGGCCTTAAACCCAGAGATCTGCTTGCCTCTCCCTCCTGTGTGCCAGGACTAAGGTTATGTGTCACATGTCACTATGCTCCACCTCTGTTTTCAAGTCTTCTGGAATCCAGCCACTTCATTCCAGCTGTTCTCCATGGTGGGTGCAGCCATTTCCCCAAGGGCCTGTATTATCTTCCACAGTCATCTAGAGGTTCTAGCAACCATAAGCACCCTGTTCACATAGACCTAGATTCTGCTGGCTCAAAACCACGCGAAGGCCAGAGAGATCAGTGGCTAAAAGTGCCTGCAAGGCAAGCCTACCAAACTGAATTCAATCCCTGGAACCCACAGTGGAAGGAGACAGCTATCTCCCCAATTGTCTTCTGTGCACATGCATATGTGTCTGTGCATGCACATGCACATGTGCGCGCACACACACATACACACATACATTTTACATTTTAAAGATACCACAAAGCTCCCAGGATACTCACCTGCCAAGCTGGCTCTACTCTTCCATTCCCTTGCTTGCTGCAGCCCCCAGACTCCTGCAGGACAGGCTGGATCATGCCTACCAACCTCCAGACCCCTCCATCCCACCTTCCTGGACGATATCCCTACTTTGTCCCATAGGCATGTCCCTAAGGGGACCCTACTCCATCCTTTCTCTGCTATTTGTATCAAGGGCTAATAGCCTCCATAAAATACAGGACAGTTAATCTTGAATTTAGGGTAAACAGTACTTTTGGTGTAAGTACATCCCACAAACGTTGTATAAAAAGTGTTTCTGTATTTGACTTGCTAAATCTGGCAACCTGCACCTAGAACAAGGTTATACTTCTGGCCTCTCCTACAACTAGGAATGGCCAGGGGTGAGAGCAACCAATGGGACAGAAGTATACTTCTACGTCCTCTGCTCAGGGAGAACCCAGAGACCTGGCTGGTGCAGCACCCCTGGACTGCGGTCTCAGCTCTCCTCCAACACGCTCCACGGTGGGGTGGGGTGCTAATCAAGGAACCAACACCCAGATAAGCCAGTGTTGTGCCTAGGGTGAGGCAGTCCAAGGGTGGGGGAAGAACCTTTGGTGGCACACGCCTTTAATCCCAATACTCAGGAGGCAGAGGCAGGCGGATCTCTGTGTAAGTTCAAGGCAGCCTGGTCTACAGAGCGAGTTCCAGGACAGGCTCCAAAGCTACAGAGAAACCCCCAGAAAACAAAACATAAAAACCTTTGCACAAAGTTTCCAATAAAAGTAGAGAGCTATACTCACTTTGCCTGAGCTTTGCCTGCTAAGCATTTAGCACACTTGC